TCAGGTATTTCAAAAGATGTCTACCTTTTTCTTGCCTAAATGTTTCTCAAGTGCATCTATTTAAAAGTTATTCACACAATCACACCCTTGCTATACAGTGCTATTTGCTGCCTGAACTCATTTCAGCATTGCACCACAGGCAGATGAAGCATTATTATATGTTTACCACTTTTTACACATTCAATTATTTAAAAGTTATTCACACAATCACACCCTTGCTATACAGTGCTATTTGCTGCCTGAACTCATTTCAGCATTGCACCACAGGCAGATGAAGCATTATTATATGTTTACCACTTTTTACCCATTCAAAAACTACCATTAAGTAAAAAAGAAAAATCTTCAACAACATAAAAAAAAGTTTTAGTGCAGGGCATCAGAATAAATGATTTTTTTTCAATTCACAAATTTATCCCTTTACCACTTTTTACACATTCAAAAACTACCATTAAGTAAAAAAGAAAAAATCTTCAACAACATGAAAAAAAGTTTTAGTGCAGGGCATCAGAATAAATGATTTTTTTCCAATTCACAAATTTATCCCATTTCCTAACTACCATGGGCTCTAATTTGCAATCCTTTTGGGCAAGAATGAATTGCTATATATAGACACCTTCCACAGTTAATCCATGCTCAAGGATCGATCCCACAAGTGATTTGATATCTTGGATCATTCCTGGTGCTGAGCACAAATTTCATAATTTAAAGACACTTCACATCCATCATGCAATGCAAGCAGCATTCAAAAAACATATCACTACTAATCAGCAGCACCACAATAAAATTCTCAACTAGCCACCTCAAATTCATATACATACAGTTAATTGGAATTCACATGAAGGAGAATTATTCCAAACTAGTTTTTGGAACTGCTGTATGGTTAAAAAATCCAACAAGGCAATATTTTATGATTTATGCACTCTATACTGGACAATTATTTGTGATGCAAGCTTTCTTAGAAATCCAAATAGTTTCATTCTTAACGCATAGGGTGTTTTAACACATATGAAATAGTTTTGAAATATTTTGCATCATTATGCAATTTACTCATTTTATTGCAAGTTATAATAGTGCAATGAGTGCAGGGTGAATCCTACAATGTTTTTTCTGAAAAGAGCCAGGCTCCACTTTCTGAAGTTGCTCAAGCATGCGCACAAGAGAGGGACAGCAGCAGCATGCATGGGGAGTGAGGCAGGGGGAAGGGGGAGCAGCATAAATTTGGCAGCTCATATGTGAGCTCCGGCAAGAAGTCCACTCACGCTTCATTCCTGCTGAAACGACCAGTAGGAAATCGGGTCAATTCAGCAGGATTTTATATACATATTATCGCAAGATTCTGCTGCACTCCTCGCCTCGACATTTTTCACCACTTTTAATTTTTTGCAAAGATTTAAAAATGAGAGATTTATGAATGTAAAAATGGCATGTAGACTGTGCTTGTATTACAGTACTGTATATTAAAACATTCAGATCTCTTCATGGGGCATTTTGGAATTTTTTTCCAAAAATAATTCCATTTGTTAGATTCCCTCATCCTTATGAGGAGGAAAATTTGTGGTAAGACAANGGAATAATGAAAAGAATATTTTGCAGTAGGGGTATCAGTAGTGGTAGTGGTAGTTCAAATTTTTTGAGTAGGGCTAATATTCCTGGTAGTGTAAAACCTTTGTAATATGTGATTATCAATCCTCTATAAAACTTATCAAATTTTGTCAGCAATTAAAACATTAAATTATCTTTTTTAAATGGACAGTGTACACAATCTAAATTTGTACTTGATGCAAAAGCAACACCAATGAAGACCATGCTCAATATTTGTTTCACTGCTAAGATTGTAGATGTTGCATTGGCTTATTTGTACTTTGTGATGAAGATACAAAACCATCCCAGAATACTGGCCAGAATAAAAATATTGGAAACTTACAAAAAAGCGTACACTGCTATGGGTTTGAACCCACAACCTACTCAGTAGTTAGCAGAATCCTCCATCATATTCAAAGATTTTCTGGAAGGGTCTCATTCAGCATTATACAATTTGGTTTTAATATACCACTATTGAACTCATGTAGTATAAAGGCAGGCATTTCTGAACCCAAATTTTTCCAAATGTTCATCATGGTGATTTTCAAAGGACAATATACCTTTCTAGTTCTATGGAAATAAGTATAAAATAAATTTTTATGCATAAAAACCAAAGCCCAAAAAATTTGGCATGACTGGAAACTTTCCCTTTGCTCATAGTTTCTTTCAGTCAATGGCATTTTTAAATTGAGAAATGCCCAATTTAGTTCTACAAATTTTAATGCTGTATATGTTTTAATTGCATATATTGAAAAAACTTAAAAATACTTACCTTTACACTTAAGAAGAAGACAGGGGTATTTTAAAGAACCTTTTTCAAATGAAAACAAATATCACTATGTCTTTACAGACTTAAACTACGTGGTTTTTATATACGAAGTTATATATTCAAAGCTTTAATAAACATGGGAGCTTCTCATTGGAGGATTACTTGGTGGCTTTTGAGTGAGATAACTTTGAACAAGTGTGTCCTGCAGTTGCACTGCTGCTTCTCAAACTTATGCAAAGCATATGGGATAAAAAAAAGCATCTTCATTTATGCTTTGCAACACAAATGTGTATAGAATACCTTGAAGATGTGGAAAGCCCATTCAATGTTCATGGCAAGCATTTCTGAATTTCCTTATGTGATTTCTACACTTGCTCTCTGATGCTTCTTGAACATTTCTGAAGCACCTCAGGTATTTCAAAAGGTGTCTACCTTTTTCTTGCCTAAATGTTTCTCAAGTGCATATATCTAAAAGTTATTCACACAATCACACCCGTGCTATACAGTGCTATTTGCTGCCTGAACTCATTTCAGCATTGCACCACAGGCACATGAATCATTATTATATGTTTACCACTTTTTACACATTCAAAAACTACCATTAAGTAAAAAAGAAAAAATCTTCAACAACATGAAAAAAAGTTTTAGTGCAGGGCATCAGAATAAATGATTTTTTCCAATTCACAAATTTATCCCATTTCCTAACTACCATGGGCTCTAATTTGCAATCCTTTTGGGCAAGAATGAATTGCTATATATAGACACCTTCCACAGTTAATCCATGCTCAAGGATCCCATTTTTTTTCAATTCACAAATTTATCCCATTTCCTAACTACCATGGGCTCTAATTTGCAATCCTTTTGGGCAAGAATGAATTGCTATATATAGACACCTTCCACAGTTAATCCATGCTCAAGGATCCCACAAGTGATTTGATATCTTGGATCATTCCTGGTGCTGAGCACAAATTTCATAATTTAAAGACACTTTACATGCATCATGCAATGCAAGCAGCATTCAAAAAACATATTACTACTAATCAGCAGCACCACAATAAAATTCTCAACTAGCCACCTCAAATTCATATACATACAGTTAATTGGAATTCACATGAAGGAGAAATATTCTGTACTAGTTTTTGGAACTGTATTGTTAAAAAATCCAACAAGTGCAGCACCACAATAAAATTCTCAACTAGCCACCTCAAATTCATATACATACAGTTAATTGGAATTCACATGAAGGAGAATTATTCCAAACTAGTTTTTGGAACTGTATGGTTAAAAAATCCAACAAGTCAATATTTTATGATTTATGCACTCTATACTGGACAATTATTTGTGATGCAAGCTTTCTTAGAAATCCAAATAGTTGCATTCTTAACGCATAGGGTGTTTTAACACATATGAAATAGTTTTGAAATATTTTGCATCATTATGCAATTTACTCATTTTATTGCAAGTTATAATAGTGCAATGAGTGCAGGGTGAATCCTACACTTCTTTTTCCAAAAGAGCCAGGCTCCACTTTCTGAAGTTGCTCAAGCATGCGCACAAGAGAGGGACAGCAGCTGCATGGGGAGTGAGGCAGGGGGAAGGGGGAGAAGTGTAAATTTGGCAGCTCATATGTGAGCTCCGGCAAGAAGTCCACTCACGGTCAACCCCTTATCGACCCCGTTCTTCTGCTCTTTGTTCCCAGCGTTTACGGCTTTAATTTCATTTTTGTGCCGATTTCTTCCAGGAAAGTTTAAAAAGTAAATCAATATCTATGTGGTTTGCCATTTCCTGTCTTCTTGTATGAAAGAATCGGATTTTGTTGCCAAAATTCTTTTCTTTTTTCAGAAGGTGCTCCTTGCTTGTTGGTAACTGAAGTTTTTTTTTTTCGTTTTTTAGTTGCGTTGTGTTTGCAAATTTTTTTATGCTCTTTGAGAATATGTGCGTTTGGAATTTCAACAGTACAGTACTGGATTTCATGTTCTGGTAGTACAGGTGGACTCTATATGTATAGGTGGATCTTCGAGGAGCATGTGAATTTGAATAAAGAGATGTTTTTGTGCAGGAATGCCGTAAATGTTGGAAACTTTGCCAGGAATTTATGCACCTGAGTAAGAGTATGTCCGACTATGTGAGTAATATGACTGAAAACTTTTTTTAGTGTAAAATACCTGGCTGACATTCCAAGCAGAGAAATAAGAACTGAAATGTCAAGGTCAATTATATTTTAATCAATATTTTTGGAACTGAGAACTGCCTATTATTGTTTCATTGCAAAAGTTATGATGTATCAACATTTCGCACAAATTAAAAGATTTGGTTTACGTTCCCTGTCGTCCATCATGCATGTAACTAGGATAAAATTCGAAACATATTCAGGTTGGTGCTGAAGATAATAACGAACTTGCCGATTCAACCAATTTTTGCCTGAAAGGTGAGGATTGATTGAAAATTGAAGTAGATCCCTGTACCTAAATTATCCTAAAATCTGTTACCGCCCTTAAATTTATTGAGTATTTTTTTAAACTAATTTTAATGAAACTCAAGACAAAGAGTTATGTTCCTTTAACTCCTCGAGACGAAAGCACATAGCATTTGAGATTTTGAGCCCAACAATTTTCCACAAGAAATGGGGTTTCCCGACGTTGCTCTGCCATAGAAATTCCATTAAAATATTATTGAATTTGGTATAACAAATAAACACAATGGAAAAGGAAAATATGGAGAGTCCATCTGTATTACCTCATACGTCATAAGATGAAAGGTGCTTTGATGGCCTCTTACTTCTTCTGGATATGTTGTGATGCTTGTAACAAACTTTGTTTAAAAACAAAGTTTTTTTTATCTTTTTTTTTTTATTCGAGTTTAGAATTTCTGTGCGAATGGATTTTACTTCTATATTTGCCGAGTACGTGAAGTTGCATATGTCTCCCCCGAAAATGTGAGTTGCTGCGGAAGAATTTTGTCCCGATCTGACAAACTTTCGTACAATTTTTTGAAAGATTGAATTGTATTGGATTGTTTTTGCATTGAAGAAAAGTGAACTGAGAACTTATGCTGTGCTGATCGTGGTACCTCGTTTTGATATCTTTTGATGCGTCGTCGTTCGAGATTCAGTTTTCTAGCGCGATGAATTTTGTACTGTTGTGAAATTAATATCGTCATGCTTGAAAGTATGGTGAGTTCATGTTTTCCCATTTATTTATACCTTATATGGATATTTTCTGAATTGTTGGATAATAATCAATACTGTTCATGTCGGCAGGATGAAAAGCAAGTTTTGGGATGGTGATCTTTGAAGGATGACTTTATTCGTGTTTCGCAGTTGATTTTCCTCATGGAAATATTGTGTGAATGTTGAGAGTTATTTACGGTCAAATTAGGAATTTGGGAAGCTGTGAAGATGCGAAATTTGTAAGAAAGGGGAAGGAATTCTCGTGCTTTCCCGTTGACACTTTTTTCTTTTTTACCTGAAAAAGGAATTTCATGCTGTAAAATTATTTGAAGCAAAGATCGGTGGAAGTGTGGATTTGTTGTTCGTAAAATTCACCGTGCAATGCGTAGTTTACGTACTCTTCCACCAGCACTCGTGTCATGAGAATTTTGTTTTTATTCAGCTGGTAGAACTAAAAAAATTTTCGCGATGGACGTGAGCAATATTCCGAGTTACGTCACGATCCCTGCTGGGATCGCATTGACGCTGTTTGCAGTGCGGAAATTCCGCGAACGTAGCTGGGGTTGGTGCAAGTCCGTGCGGGACATGTCTGGCAAGTGCGTGCTCGTCACGGGGGCCAGCAGCGGGCTGGGTGAGGCCACGGTCGTGGAGCTGGCCCAAAGAAACGCCCGGGTCATCATGGCGTGTCGCGACGAGGCCAAAGCTAGGGCAGCTGTGGAGCGGATCCGAAAGCTGACGAAATCCGGGGACTTGATTGCGATGCACGTGGACATGAAGAGCTTGGGTTCTGTGGTGGAGTTCGCGAAAAAAGTGAAACAGGTTTGTGTACATGCGGATGTATGGGATGACATTTTTCAATATCATCATCGATTCCATTTTTAGGTCTGAAGGATTACCGCATTTACTCTAGTAAGACGCACACCTCATTTTTTTTTTGCTCAAATTTAGGAAACATTTCTCGAAAACGCAAGACCCAAAAAACTGCAAGTCGTAAAAATCTAAATAGAAGCCCTTATATAGAAGTTGGCCACTTTTGATGTTTTTTCTTTTACGAAACGAAGAATGATTAAATAAAGATTTTGGAGAAATAGTTTAAACAAGGGGAAGATTTTGAAGTTTTAAAAATGTGCTATAAATTTTTTTACTCAACTTTGATGTGCACCTAATTTTTTGCCCCTTTTTTAGTATAAATTGTGCGCTTTTGTAAATTCGAAACATTCCTCAGTATTGATTGATTCACCGTGCGATTCATAGAGCTGACAAACTGCTTATTATTAATTGATGTATAGTTCACAGGCGTCGGCCGTCAGCAGATTCAGCATCACCGACACAAAAATGGAAATATTCAAAATAGTATTTACATTGGACGATCGTTTCCAGTCGTACGAAATATTCTCAAAGATTTTTCAGTTATCTGAAATATTTAAGGCTCAATTCACTTGCAAATTCAGGAAATATACTATTGTTGCATGTCATCTGTATGTAAATCAGACAGAATTTTTGTATGTGAAGAAAAAGCCAAAATTTTAATTTTATGAAACTTCCGATTGGGCGCATTAATTGATGATGAGTTTTTGTGTTTTGTTTTATTGGTCCGGTCATTATCACGGAAATGTAAAGCACTAATTAGCACTGAGGCAAGTTGATTCTACGATTTTCATATTCGCGAACCTTTTATTGATTGCAATGCTTAATTTCAAATGTGGAAGTTCTGTATTTGAATGTGCAGTAGTTTCCATTTTCCCTTAAATGCAAGAATCCTCCACGTTGATAATTTTTGCATTTTAAAGGACAACGAAAAGTTTGTAGTCTAACCGGTGTTATTAATTTGTAGAATTGAAAAACGCATGTGTGTCAACATTTGCGTTTTTCTCTCCAGATCGAGAGCAGACTTGATGTTCTTGTATGCAATGCTGGGGTATCAGTGCCCCAGGGGTGGAACCGAGGACAGAAGACGGACTCGAAATCCTTTTCGGCGTGAACCATTTGGCACATTTCGTGCTTGTGAAAGAGTTGCTACCGTTGTTGATGGAAGAATCGGCGCCATCTCGAGTTGTGGTGATGGCGTCCTCTCTGTATGCGAGCGGGAAAGCCATGTTTGATGCTGAAAAGCTTGAAAGTTCAGTGAGAAGACCGAAGTTGAGGTTAGCATCCTGTGTTTGAAAATATTTAAACCCGTTTTAAGAAATGGGTCTTCTTTATAGAAATTCTCTGTACTGCGACTCAAAAATGGCGAACGTTTTGTTCATGAGAGAGCTTGCGAGAAGACTTGAAGCGACATCTGTGAATGCTTACGCAGTGTGCCCGGGATGGTGCAACACAAACTTATTTCGACATTCAAATTACTCAATTGTCAAGAAGCTGATGCTTGCTCCGATTCTGTTTTGGTTTATGCGTTCTGCGAAGCAGGTTTGTTTTCTGAGGTTGAAGTATTTTCTTGCGCTTAAATATGAAATATTGCTCCTTTTTTTGCCGCTATAGGGTTGCCAAACGATTGTGCATTGCACCACGGAGGAGAGTTTGGGAAATGATTCCGGGAAGATGTTCAAGGATGTCAAGGAATATCCTCTGATTCCTTACGCAATGGATGAAAAATTAGCTCGGGACTTCTGGGATTATACTGATCAACTGGCTAAAGACCTTCTGAAAAAACATGTTGACTATAGTATTGAATATTTTTGTAGGTTTTCAAGTTCAGCCCCAGTGCGTAGATGACATTCTTGTGTTTGAAGCTTGAGAACAAGTCGAAATAAAACCCTTTTTTAAGTCTCACTCTTTCTTTCATGGTTTGTTGAAGCCTCAGATGAATTATTCTTCACCAATATCAAGAACAATTAAATTTACTATATACAGTTAAACAGAGGTGCATCGATTTTATATATGCTTGTTGGACTGCTTTATGTTCGTCAATTTTTTCCATGGGTTATTTGAATGACCAAAATCCAAGCAATTCATATTTTCCGTCAAACTGTTATGTGAATGACGCTAATTTTTTTTAAATATCCAGTTAAATCTTGGTGAAACTAACTCACATCAGGGACCAGTGAAAAATACATACAGCTGTAAGGGCAAAAAATGTGTTGTGGGATTGGTGTCTTATTTAGGATTAAACTCTATAGGTAATGGGTATATAGTATAAAAGCTTTGAAGAGCTTTCACGTCAGTTGTAGGCAGAATTGTCATACATTTCCTACTTTCTTTTGATTAAATGAGGAAAATTTCAAAATTCAAGTATAAATTTTTTTACGTTGCTTCTGCCCTACTTCAGATTTCCTGGAAAATTTTTAAACTTACTGATGCGTCGAAACGAACAAAAATGCATGTGTAATAAGATCAATATAATCGTTCAATCAAAATTTTATGTTCAATGAGGAAGAACAGTACCCTTTCTAAGATTATGTACTGTTCATTTGAAAGAAAGCTACTGCACATTCTAAAATAAAGACAGAGAGGCTCAGGAAAATCATGCAACCTGCAATATTTTGTTAAATTTTCTGTATAAAGAAAAGAATCGGTGTGAATATTTTCAACGGGTATTAGTGCTTCAAGTTGGATTTTCCCTCACTGTATTTGTGCCAATTAGTGAAATGTGTATGGCCTTTATTTGGATGTGTTTAATATGGGATGTAATTCTGTGATATTACAGGTTTAAATCAAATACAGTATATAGTTAGAATAAATTTCCAAAATGTCTCACTTATGAAGAAAATCGTGGGACAAAGAAAATATGTTTGAAGAGTTGTCTTACTGAAATTTTACTGTATAAGAAATGATGCAGTATTGCAGGTTTCACATAACATACCTTCCTTGGATATTTATATTGCATGAAATGGTCAGCATGCATTATAACTTTGTTGATCATGGCTGGGGTATAAATACCACCAGAAGAAGAAATGCGAAAATAATTCCCGTTAGCTTATTTCTAAAAGCATATATGAATGTTTTTGAACTGATATCACCTCCAAGGACAATTTGAAAGAATCTTATTGATTGAAAGTTTCGTCACATTTGAAAGAATGTTTCAATTACCCGGAAGGTCTTCCTAACGACATGGAATTCTGTGATAATTTCATTGCATACATTTCATCATGGCGGCACAGTGAATGCTTCCTGCGACGACTCAGCGATCGCGAACGTGAATGATTCGCTCCAGTTGACATCCCAAGATTTGAGAAGGACCGTGTTGGTGTTAATCTGTGTCGTTTATTGTCGCAAAACCTTCATGGTTCTCTTGTCTCTCGGGGAAAATCGTATTTCTTTTGTGTAAGCCATCTAAGTTATTCGTGAAATTCTGACCTGTTCCGTCATGACTTTCCAGATTGTTAGTGTGCGCTAATCTTGTTGCGGAAATGCACGTGACATCTGCCGCTGGTATTTTGGCTTGGTTAGATGAGCCAGTTCCCGAACTTCAAGTCTTCACGCTTCAGAAGTTGAATGAAGTTGTGGATGAGTTTTGGGCCGAAATCTCGGAGCACATCGAGAAAATGTAAGACTTCGGAAAAGTGTTCGTGTAGTTCCGACAGTTTTTTGGACAACATCGTTTCTGTTCTAGTGAGGTGCTATATGAAGACAAGAATTTCAGCCATAGAAATCTTGCCGCGCTCGTAGCGAGCAAAGTTTTCTATCATCTTGGTTCGTACCAAGATTCATTGTACTTCGCCTTGGGAGCTGCAGGTCTATTCGACGTTAATAGTTCATCTCAGTACGTCACCACCATCGTTGGTAAGCGTGCACTTTTTCAGAATGTGATGTTTCAAACTTATAATTTAATCTTTTGATCCTTACGCAGCAAAATGCATCGATCATTACACGAAGCTCCGACTCGTGAAAATCGCGAAGGAGAAGAAAGCCCTTGGGAAAGCTTTCGACGACGGAAATTTTGTAATAACTGGACAACCCGAGCTAATTCCGTCGGAATCCGTGATGCTCACCTTGAGCGGCCTGGACGGAGGAAGGAAGATGGATGCAATTTCTCGTCCAATGAATCCCAATGAACCCGTCGATCCTAGACTTGAACAAATCGTCGACCGCATGTTCCAGCGATGTTTCGACCACGGGCAATTCAAACAAGCTTTGGGTATTGCTCTTGAAACTCGCCGCATGGATGTCTTCGAAAAATCAATCCTGTCGTCTGACGATGTTCTCGGAATGTTGAGCTACGCTTTCAAAGTGAGTTCTGGAAAGAATTACCTCTTCAACAGGATGAAATTCCTCACCTTCGTTTTTGGCCGCTTTTTCAGGGATTTAACGAGTGAAGACCAAATACTGTCGAGGCTGTTATAAAATCGGAAATATTTTTATGTTAAAGGCCGTCGTTGCACGTATTACACAAGGCTAAATTGTCTTAGATTGAATCATGTAAAGTTTACATGGGCTTATTCAAAAATCTACAGTACTATATTACGCAAAGGGGCCACAAATTTTTTTTTTTTTTATCGGAGATCCCCAGCGTAACAGTTTAACGACAGGATCTTTGTCAAGCCTCACAAGTGCGGCGGCGTTATTATTTAATTTGAATTAATTTGTCTTCTTTCCCTGAAATTCATTTTGAATGCAAAATTTTTTTATCCCGAATGCTGTTTTCTTTCAGGTGACAATGTCCTTAATAGACGAACGACAGTTCCGCAATGAAGTCCTGCGAACGCTCGTGAACCTATATCGTAGCCTCCCTGGGAACCCAGATTATGTCAGCATGAGCCAGTGTCTTATCTTTTTGGATGATCCAGAAGCAGTTGCGGAGTTACTGTTGAAAATCCTTTCGGGCGCCTCTGAAGACTCAGAAGTGATGGCCTACCAGCTGGCTTTTGATCTGTACGAAAGCGCGACGCAGCAGTTCCTGGGGAAGGTGCTCGACGCTTTACGAACAATGTCCAATATAACATTCAAGGTTTGTTCGAACTATATTCAAGTAAAATTAATTTGCCACAGTGACACTAGAATTTCTACGTGCAGATCCCGACGTCTCATAGTACTGTGGAAAAAGCGGAAGAAAAAGTGGAAGCCAAGATCGAGGAGAAAATGGACACTGACGAGGCAAATGTTGAAGATGGGGCCGAGCCAAAGCCTCCGGCGGTGAAGTCGCAAGCTGATACCGTGCTGGTGAGTTTGAATATATTTATTTGCAATATGATTCCTTTCAACTCTCAATCGACTTTTCGAAATAGCTCTTCATCCGAGAATTTGAGTCCCTTATATCATCTATTTTTTGCTTATGTTAATACTCGAATGTAATTTTGATGTTTGATGCCATTTTTTATTTGATCTACATCCTTATGCCTTAATGAGATTCCATCAACTGCACAGAAAGCAAGAACATTTGAAGTTCAATTTTCCAGAGCTCTGTTTTTAAATGCACTGTATGGCAGTTCAAATTACATTTTCTCTTTCATTTTTGAGTTTTCTCTTCAAATGAACATAACATTTGGAGCATGAAGCTGTACGATGAAGTAGTGTTGTTAAAGAAATGATAGAGTTTTTCTAAAAGTTAGGATTTAATCTTCCAAGTTTTTTGGAAATCGGTTCTGAAATTGTTCTGTATGTATGACGGTACTGCGTAATGAATTGTGCATCAAATTTTGAGGGTTCAATTCAGTAAAGATTTTTAACCTTATTCATCATCATTGAAAATGATGTACAGTATTCTTAAATTTTGAACTGATCTCAGGTGGGTTCAAAAATTAGTATTCGAAAGAATTGGAAATTGCGAACCACAGGTTTCATCTGATGCAATTGTTTAATAATTTTATTTATCACTTCTATTTATAATTTTTTTTATTCTGCTGTTTCATTTCAGGACGATGCGGAGAAAGTGAAGAAGACGAAGCTGGAGAAGTTGGCGACGATCCTGTGTGGCGATGTGCCGATATCGTTGTACCTGCAATTTTTGATCAAAAGCAACCACACGGACATGATGATACTCAAGAATACGAAAGATCAAGTTCGTGTGTCTGTGTGTCACACGGCCACTGTCGTTGCCAACGGGTTCATGCATTGTGGAACGACGTCGGACCAGTTCCTGAGGGACAACCTGGACTGGCTAAGCAGGGCCAACAACTGGGCGCGGTTCTCTGCGACTGCATCCCTCGGGGTTATTCATAAAGGCCACGAGAAAGATGCTCTCGCCTTGATGCAGGTTTGTCTGTTTTCTCGAATATGTTCCGTGCTCGTGTTGTGTGCTGATGTGGCCCGCCCGTCGTATTTGCGCACGTGGGAAAACGTACTGCATTGCGTGTTTGAAAATTTAAGGATTGGACCTAGGTTTGGTTTCTGAAAAAAGGGTCTTCTTTGCTGCTGGATTTATTTGTTCAAATGTCAGGTTCGATTTTCTGCAGTGCACATGTGCCCGTTTGGAAGAAACTCTATCATGACATCAGTCGACAAGACTTATTATCCCAGTTTTGTTGAGAGGTTTCGAAAAGTTGCTAAGATAAGACTAAATGTTGTCCGTAGTACACTGTGAAGTATGAACTTTTTTTTCGCGATTAATGTCATGCTATTGAGGTGGTCAATTGAAGTATGCCGGAAGTTCGAGAGGTTTCACCACCACCGTAGTTTAGATCTGGTGGCTTCTTATGTTGAAGCAAGGAGGACTACGTAAATATTGCATCTAAAGTACATTGAAATTTCCCAAAAATTATTATTTTTCTGATTTTGAGAGACCACTTGAAGTTGAGTGAAGTTGACTCCATAGATAATGCATTTACATTTAAATTATCCACAATGAATTATTTTCTGGTTCTGAGAGGTATCTTGAAGAATGAGCAGTCTATAATACTGTAATATCCTGGGAAGAAAAGTTTTTCCAACTTTTCGGTCTTGTGTAGACGGTATTTAAGGACTGAAATAATTCTGCGTGTGGAAAAATATTAATGCGGATTAAAATTTTGAAATGTACGGAAAACAATGCAAATATTTAGCCTCCAGTGCGGACCTTCGAAATTAACTTTTTTTTCGTGATTATTTTTAGGCTTATTTGCCGAAAGAGTCGGGCGGCGGTGGCGGAGGAACGTCTGCCTCCGCGTCCGGTTACTCTGAAGGCGGTGGCCTATACGCCTTGGGCCTGATCCACGCCAACCACGGCGCCGCAATCACCAAGTACCTTCAGGAAAGTCTGACAACCTCCACGAGTCCGTTTGTGCGCCACGGGGGTTGCTTGGGTTTGGGCCTGGCTGCGATGGGTAGTCAACGCCTGGATATTTTGGAACTACTCAAGGAGCAGTTGTTTCAGGATGACGCTGTGACGGGAGAAGCTGCTGGTATTGCCATGGGCCTGGTGATGCTGGGCTCCAACGACGGGGATGTTGTGCACGAAATGATCACGTATGCGCAGGAGACGCAGCATGAAAAGATTTTACGCGGTCTCGCCATTGGCTTGGCCATGATCGTGTATGGCAGGTGAGATTCGGATTTTTCCTGACTATGCAAGGGTTTTCTGGTTTCTCTGGCGAAGTGAAAGGGGTGAAGTACTCCTTACAGTAAAACTAATTTCGTTTCAACGAGTGATTCTTCGAATGAGATGTATTTTCTGAAGAAAAAAAAAATTCGGACAAACTCAATGCGTTGAACCGGGATAATTAAATTGGTTCAAGTTGAGAAATTGCCCTATTCAAGTGCCACGCGCACCTTCTTTTTCAAAATTGAGAGGCAAAGAAGGGGGTGCGTGTCAAATGCGAGTATAAAATTTTACATAAACTTCTGAAAGTTTAGGCTCAACTCGAAGTGAACGGGAAATTGTAAAACCTTAAACAAAAATGATATGAGATGGAAACAATTGAAAATAAATTGAATTCAGGCTCAATTCAAGTCCAAGTTTGAATTTGGTTTTTTTTCTTCAATTTTTCAGCTAATGGATATGGGTTGCTTGTCTTTCTTGAGGGTAGGATTTTATCAAAATTTTGGGCTGATAAATTTGAATGCACGTCTTTCTTGATGGTGTGTGGTACTTGAGAATGCCTCAAATCATTCACATTTCTTTCTTGATGCTTAGCTAAATTTCTACACGGATTACCAGCTCACCGTATAAAATTCCCCAATGAAAATGGAAGACGACGTGACCCCTGACATTTTTCTGGTATACCAGAGTTAGTTATACAGTAGAGGGTGTGGTCAGTTGTAGGAGCCTTTTTTTTAGAGGAACGCCATTCGTTGAATGAAAGTTCTCTTCTTCATGCTCTGATAATTACCACTATTGACCTTGGTAATCTTACTTGATCAGACCTGATCCGTTCCTAAGTGAAGGCCATTTTTTGTATCGAAGAATTTCGTGACAGCAATTCAAAGCTTTTCAAAAGTGATCAAATGATTTTATCTCGACAGTAATCCCTTAATCTGGTATCGTGAAGCTCTACAGAATGACTAATCCTTAAAATCACGATCGACGTGATTGATTAGGATAAAGAATGACAGCAGCATTCAAGAAACAAACTCTGAAAATAAAATGAGAGTACAGTACTCTATTGGGTTACTCGGCTTTTGAATATGCGAGATGGTGATTCATTCTGCAAAGATGTTGGTTTTGGACGTGTTGCATCGGGTTTTCTTGGGGGCGGGGCAAGTTAAATTCAGAAGAATAGCTATCTTGGTTCATCCCTCCAATTTCCTCTCACTGTTCCATCTTTTTATGACTTACAAATAAGAAAGTATTCCCGAAAAGTTTTTCCGCCGAGAAATTAAACAACAGCATTTACATTCATGTTTCCATATGCTAGATAAAGTTTAAAAAGAATTGCCTGAACTAATTCACTAAATTCATTAAAATCCAATTTTTCTGTCTTGCTCCTGACCTCTGAGCCTAGAATCCTCTTCCGGTTAGTTGTCACTGGTGGTCTAAATTACATTTTGATTCAAACATGTCATCAAAAGTTACATCTTAGGTCTTCACAAGTAAATATTAAGGTTTGTGTGGGATTCAGGGTTGCTGCGAATCGGACAATTTAATATTAGAAGCAAGGTTTGCAGTATCAGATGCTCAGTAAAAGTTGTACTGTATTTGTAAAATAACTTGTTGAACAGCTCTTTTGTGTCTGACGTGAGGAAACGAGTAAACCCTCGTATGTTCAAATTTATTCTGAACATGAAGTATAAATGAAATTATTTTCTGTGTGTTTAAGGTTGGAAGACGCAGAGCCAGTGATCGTGAAGCTGACTACGGATAAGGACCCCATTTTGCGACGATCAGGAATGTATTCCATTGCAATGGCTTACGCTGGAACTGGAAACAACGGAGCCATCAAGAGATTGTTGCACGTGGCCGTGTCGGACGTTAACGAGGACGTGAGAAGAGCTGCTGTGGAATCCCTCGGATTCCTCTTGTTCAGGACCCCTGACCAGGTGCGAAATTCTTTTTTTCTCCCTTGTGCAGTACTTGATTTTAAACAAAATAGAAATCGACTCTTGCATTTCACACGAAGGAATTTTTTAAACTTCCCATGGGAAAAGCGGCGCTCCCGGAAGATAAGTCCCTAACAAAAAGGGCCCCGGGAACATGGGTTAGAAAAGAGACCAGTGAGAAGAAGTCCCCTGGGGCAGCGGAACTGCGCGGACCTACAAATTTGAAAATATAATAATCGAAGCAAGGATTGCAGTATAAGTTGCTTAGTAAAATTTATTTTTGTAAATTAACTTGTTCAAAAACTTTTGTTTCTGACGTGGGGTAACGAGAAAACCCTTTTATTCTCGAAATGAAATTGTTTAGTGATGGTCACTTGAGGCACGGATTTAGATACGCATGAACACTTTTTAGAAATATTCTGTTTATTGAAAATATTTGTTAAAATATTGCGTTTTTGCTACCGTTTTTTTTTTCACGAACTCTGAAAATGCCATTAATAACCTCTTCTAAAGTTGGCACTCATCAGTCTACTGTTATAACTTTGCCTGCAGTAAAAATAAGCTGTTGAATCACGTATCGAATAAAACTGACCGTCACTCCCTCTCATTGGTCTCTTTGACCCCTTCCCCGGGGGACTTTTTGTCGCGGGTCTCTTTATCACTTGTTCCCCAGCCGGGTCCTTTTCATTGAGGACATATTCTCGCGCAGTCGAAACTCGCAGAGCTGAGAGATCATTTTTTCATAGTGCTTATATGCCGAACTTCGAATCAATTTTTTTCTTTCTAGAAATATTTAAAAACTGTACAATATATGCAATGCATTGTATTTTAACCTCGCATTTCATCTGAGTGATTCTAAAGATTTGAAAAAATGTCAAGGTGGCGCATGTCTTATTTTTGAGAATGCTGTGAACTCGTTTCATCTACATTCCTCGTTGGTCTTTATTTCTCTTCCATACGTGTTTTCGACTGTGCGAATTAATATTCGCAGTATGACATTTTTTTGTCGAATATATATTTGTGTTGTTATTTTCAGATGCCGAGCGTAGTTTCCTTGCTGGCGGAGAGCTACAATCCACATGTGCGTTACGGAGCCGCGATGGCCTTGGGTATCGCTTGCGCAGGAACTGGGCTACAATCCGCGATCACTCTCCTGGATCCATTGACTAATGATCAGGTCAATTACGTTCGACAAGGTGCCTTGGTTGCATCAGCCTTGGTATTGATTCAGCAATCTGAGACGTCCAATCCAAAAGTCAAAGAGATGAGGTGAGTATGAAGGATGATTAAACAATCCTGCGACTCGCAGTCGGTTTAATAACTAGGTTAAAATTGTAAGCCTTAGTCTGTTGGCGAGAGAATATACATTTTTTTTATTCGAGTCGTGATAAGAAAATTGCTAACCAAATCATAAAGGCAACGAAGAACGTAAAAGAGGGCTCATTCTGAGCATGACTCCATCGTAACAAGTTTTCCAGATCTAGAACTTGGTCACTAAAAAGATTTCCCAATTATTTGAAGCGTTTGTTCACTTGGGATTGCTGGGAATCGATGAATCGAGTGGCAAGCAAACCATAATTGTTTGCAGTGATGAACTGTACTTACAATCGGATCTTTCCCCCATTTCAACGGGTGTTTGTGGAGTTTAGAACAGTTGTCTGCAACTTATTATTATTTGAGGCGAACCCTCCCTACAACGAAATTCAAGGGAACATAAAAAAATGCTTTATAGAGAACCCCTTTTAACATGGGAAGAGAATCCTATGGGATCTAAAAAATCCTTATACAGTACAGGGAATATTGTTTTACACAATGTTGATCTAGAGAGAGTCCACCTGTATTAAAGAAAATCACGTCATTTTCCATTTTTCCTGGAATACCCATCAAGATGAGCTCAAGTTCAACATCGTTTTATACAACTATTCAACATCTTTTTTTTTTAAACTCAAACATTTTGCTTTTGTTATAAATAACGTTGTGTTGAAAATGTTGCGCTTTGATTAGAAGCAATCTTATTCTCTCCAAATAGGAATACGTATTCCAAAGTGCTGAGTGACAAGCACGAGGACGTGATGGCAAAGTTTGGGGCGATTTTAGCCCAGGGTATCATTGATGCTGGAGGACGAAACATGACTGTGTCTTTGCAAAGCCGAACTGGACACATGCATATGATGTCCGTGGTCGGAATGCTCGTTTTTACGCAGTTCTGGTACTGGTTCCCGTTGTCGCACTTTTTATCACTTGCCTTCACCCCGACCACCATAATTGGTGTCACTGCCGAGCTGAAGATGCCGAAGGTGAATTCATTTTTTGTTTCATTAAAAATGAGATCATCAAAATCTTCATCCCGGAAGAATTTTTGGGTATATCAAGTAATGTGCAGTACATGTACCTAATATGCCAACGAACTGAGTTTTAGAAAAATCTTTCACAAGATCATCATGTACGCGTTATAAAATAATCCCATATTCGAGACACGGTAAATCCAGCTTAATACAAAGAATGAAGACGTTTAGAACGGCATTTTCTCTAGAGGTCATCGATTAAACAATCTGTACATATCGCCGTTTTCATCGTCAAAGTATTAGAGTGGATAAGAATAATTTTATTATATCATAATTTATCACCCCTCAAGGTAACCAGAATACGATTTCAGAAGTCATGAACATGAATGAAGATTGTATAACAACGTTGGTGGGATTTGGGGGCGTCGGGCGTTCGAATGAAGAAGACGGGAATGTTTTCTATGAAGTCCATAACTGCGGAACTCTGAATCGAACAATTACTTCTATTGAGGTTTTCGGACACATTTTTTTGCAGCTGCTGATTGGTCTTTTGAACGCTTGATCAGCGCTTTAATAAATAAAGTATTTCCTTTTTTTTGTATCGAACTTCCTTGTCTGTGAAATTTCTTTTCTTTGCGAAACCCTGAATCGAAGAATTATTCTTGATGAGATTTTGAGACACATTTTTTGTAGCTGCTAAGCAGTCTTTTTCAACGGTTGATGAGCGCGTATGAAAAATTTAAACGTTTCTTTTTTTTTTTGAGCCTTTATGTATTAGAAAGTGTGAATGGAAGAATAACTTCTATTGAGATTTTCGAATACAGTTATATAGTTGCTGAACATTTTTTAACGCTCGATCAGTGGTATTGAAAAATGAAAATTTTCGTTTCTTTTGAATCGAACCATTTCATCAAATACAATTTTTTTATGTTTCATCGCAGGTTCAAATCCGCAGCGCGGCGAAACCGTCTCTATACGCCTATCCGGCACCTCTCCAAGAGAAAAAGAAGGAAGAACGCGAGAAAGTAACAACTGCCGTATTGAGCATAACTGCGAAGCAGAATCGCCGTCGTCGAAACTTGGCCGACTTCATGGAAGTTGACAAGGAAGAGCGAAAAGAAAAAGAAGAAAAGGAAAAGGAGAAGAAGGAACGCGAGAAGAAAGAAGAGGAAGAGCGGGAGAAGAAAAAGAAGGAGGACGAGCCGCACTTCGAAATTCTCGAAAATCCCGCTCGAGTTCTCAAGCCGCAGCTGAACGTCGTTTCTCTGGAAGGCTCTAGGTTTGTTTCTATTTGGTCGATGAATGTGTCGGGAAGCGGAATGCGAAAGTCTGTTCATTATTCATTAATCATGTTTTTTTTGTTCGTATATAGATACAAGCCCGTGAAAGATATTTCTCAAGGAGGATTTGTTGTGCTGACGGACAATTCCCCGAAAGATCCCCAGGATTTGGTCGAGCCTGTTGCTGCGATGGGGCCGCAGTTGGAACCCGAAGGAGATGAACCTCCTCCACCCCAGCCGTTTCATTACCCAGACGATTGATTCGATCAGCGGGTCCTTTCTTTCATCTTTTCGTTATTCTCTTCTCAGACTCTCGTCCGTTGTGTCATGAGATAAAACTGGTCTATCGTCCTTGATTCTCTTCTGTTCGTTATATGTAATCGGAATGGCAAACATTTTTTCTGAGATGAAGTTATCCGGTTTTTTTTTTCTTGTTTATTTTTTTCGAGCATATATGCTCGTTTGTTTTCATCATGTCTGGAATTTAATTTTGGTCATTTTGCAGGGATTCGTGGAATTTGCGACCTTGAATCGTTAAATTGATGATCTTTCGAGAAAATGTTGTTCAAACTGTCTTGATTTATTCGTATTAAGCTGTATGTATCGTGACTCGAATGTGAAATTATTTTCTTACGCGTGTGTCGTGATAGCGTGAAACAATTTCCTCCAACTCACTCCATTGGCATATCAGGTAATTGATAAATCCATGACTCCGTCCGCGAGGAAGACTTTGATGAGGTTTTTTTCCTTATGTTTGTCATCAAGAAAATAACAGATGCTGTGAATTATAAGCGGTGGGTCGATAGGAAGGAATCATGTTCCCGCCGCCGATGGACCACAAAAACATTCCGATGCGTGCTTACCGGCGCAGTTTTCCGGGTACTTCGCAGTCATTGTATCCGTCGAGACCTTGGATGGCTGAAACTGGGGCAACTGCTCCCGCTGGTGGATCCAATCAGGGTCTGAAAGGAGTCATTGCAGGTTTGAAATTGTGAATCGAGGAAAGATTTTTAAAAAATGAGAAACTTTTTGGAAATCCTTGCCTCAACTTTCTGAGATTCATTTACGAAGGACTTAATGGCGCAGAAGATCACCGAGTTTACTTCTTGATTTTTCCAGAGCGAAAATGATGTTTCAGTAACTTATAATCTCCATAATTCAAATTTCTTCACTGTTCCCATGAGTTCCACTTGAAGAGGTTTGACTGAAGTATTGAATTGAAATTTTGACGCTCGGAGAAATAATCGAGGGACACTTTTCTTTTTAAAATGCACCGTTTTATTTAATTCAATTTTTCGCCGGAGGGTACAAAAATGCCGGTCAACACTCTGCTACTGCGGTTCAATAATATTATGCTTTCGATCGATTATGGAAGATTTTGAACGGTTTAAATTTGATCGGACGTAAAAGAAAGGAAGTGGCATTAGGCAGGGATTTTAAGAAATAAAAACGAAAAGGACCGCTTTTGGTACTTCGGTGATAGAAGTATTTTCCGTGGGGGTGAAATTTTCGCAGAGCATGAATGGTTTTACTGGAATGTTTTTGTTCAACTCTTTTGGTACATTGTTCGTCGTTCAGGTGGAATAACAGGCGGTATCGAAATCTGCATAACCTTTCCAACCGAATATGTTAAAACGAGGCTTCAATTGGATGAGAAATCTGGAAAAGCAAGACAGTTTACTGGGATCAAAGATTGCGTTGTCAAGACCGTCAAGTCCCACGGAGTTCTCGGACTCTACAGAGGCTTGTCTGTCCTCGTTTACGGATCCATCCCGAAGTCTGCTGTCAGGTGAAATTTTCTGCGATTCATTGTTCGTTGAATGACGGTCAGAAGGCATCCTGTTTATGTGTATTCTATGAAAACGTATGTTCGTGAAGTCCAAAATTTAAAGAATAGGCGTCTGGACATTTTCGGGGAATTTGTGGCTTCTTCCCGAACAAAAATTTGACGTGCTAACCATTTGAAAATTCCTGAAAACAAAATGTTAAGAATCGTAACTGAGGCTATCATGAGTGGAAACCCTCACAAGTGCTGCGTTGTTTTCTTTCGGAAGGGAAATGAGACACGAAAATGTTTTACAGCCCCTTAAACTTTTTCACGTTTGAAGAAAGTTTTCCAGCAATTCTAGAAGGGTAGTGAAGAATCCATTATCAACTGAATTTAATATCGGGACTTGAATGTAATTATGCAGGTTTGGAGCGTTTGAGCAACTGAAGAAGCTCAATGCGGACTCGACTGGGAAGCTGACCGCGGGTCAGAGACTCCTTTGCGGTCTCGGAGCTGGTTTGTCTGAAGCAGTGCTTGCTGTGACCCCGATGGAAACGGTAAAGGTCAAGTTCATCCACGACCAGACTTCTGCTAACCCCAAGTACAAAGGGTTCATCCATGGCATTCGTAGCATTGTGGCTGAACAAGGTGAGCCTCCTCTTCTAATTACGCAAATTGGTTAATGTTGGGAAATCACACGTCCGCACCAAAAACCTTTTTAATCAAGGATAACATCTCAGATAAATTATAAAAACCGACTAATTTTAAAGAACAAAGTAGTCCTCAAAACTCGAAAAATAATACAGTAATAAATAAAACCGCCCGACGTTTTCGAAACTACTCAATTCCACCAATCCTAAAAAAACCTATTATGAAGGTAAACCACTCTCGAAACAAAGAAATCAGGAACAAAATGAAATCTTGTCTGTTCTCACCTTTGCCCGGCAAAGAACGAAGCATTCGCGATTTAAAATCCATGGTGAAAACTGTGTGAAATCTGAGATTTGAGTTCCGGGAAAATTCTTAATACAGTATCTTTTTTCCCCTCAGGAATCGGAGGAACGTACAAAGGTCTAGCGCCGACAATGGCTAAGCAAGGGAGCAACCAAGCGATACGATTCTTCGTGATGGAGACTCTCAAGGATTGGTGGCGCGGCGGCGACCCGAACAAGCCAGTCAACAAGTTGGTGGTGGGTGGTTTTGGTGCCATAGCTGGCGCCGCTTCGGTTTTTGGCAACACCCCGATCGACGTGGTCAAGACCCGGATGCAGGGCCTAGAGGCGAGTAAGTACAAGTCGTCGGTTGACTGCGCCCTGCAAATCTGGCGCCACGAAGGCGCCGCCGCCTTCTACAAGGGAACTTTGCCTAGACTGAGTCGCGTTTGTTTGGACGTGGCCATCACGTTCATGATCTACGACAGTTTCATGGAGGCTTTCAACAAGATTTGGAAATGAGTTCTTTCGCAATTTATTTTTCTTGGAACCAAGAATTGCATTAGTATGTCTAATCAAAACTAGGACAACATGGAATCGAGCCAGCAGCGCATCGGGATTTTAGCTAATTCGTGGAACTAGGATGATGTTCTTGATAATCATGGATAACGTTCAAAACAAACCTCGTGGTTTATGTGAGGAAAATGAAAACGTTAAATATTTGAAAATGAATGGAGCAGCGTTTCCAATTTTGGTGCATTCATGATGCCATAATCGTTCGTTTGATCAGAATCTTTTTTGTGTATTTTGTACACATGTCGATACGAATCTCGCGCAGATCGTTGGAATCTAAACTCTGAGAAATCTCCTGTTTATTCTTTGTACTCTACTTATCGTTTCTCGCGTTTTCTGTGAAGTTGATTAAACTTTTTGTGTCATACTCGTTCGCCAGAAAAATGTCACGGAATTTTCAAAGTTGGCGATCAGGAGCAATTCGTTTGCTTTAAGAAAATTGCGTTAAATTCTCGGGTCAGTTCTAGCTTTTTTGTTTGGAAAATTTGTCAACTTCTGTGGTTGGAAAAATTTGCAATCTTCTCCGTGTGTAATTTTGCGGTGGGGTAAATACAGTGTTCAGGCGATAAATGTGAATGTGGCGGCTGGGAAAAATAAGTTTCGTGTATTGGGAACTGTGCAAAGCAATTCCTGGTAGATTTTAATATTGATGTCGGTGATGTTGAAGCTTAACTCCAAAAACCGTGCAAGCTGCGCGCAAAATTTTCGCTGAAAAACATCGAAGAAAGTTGCGTAATGTTCTCTGAAGGAAAATGTTTTCCCTAATTGTCGGAAAAAAATTTCAAGCAAGGTACGAAAGCAAAGAAATTTTATAGAAATGTATGTGAAACTGCGGAGAAAGGACTAGGCTTTCAATCGAATTTCTGCGTATCTTGGCGAAACAAATTATGCAAGTGTGTTATTGCTGTGGTGCTGGGGAAACGTGTACAAGGGTGATGATCAGGAGTCTCAAGACTTTCACATTGTTACAAACTTAACAAATCGTCTTTCAGAACATTCCTGAAGTTGCTTCGAAAACGTATTCTGGAAATCTTGCTTAATTTGAAAGAGTTTTGACAAGTTTCAAAATTCCTGCGAGGGAGAAAGAAGCCTTATTCCGTGCATATCAAACAAAAATCCCGCGTGAGAATATATCACTATTTTGTTCGGCATTGCCATTTTCATTTTTGTTCGTTCATTGCTGTGTTATATCAAAGAAGATTCCGTTATTTGTTTCTTGCCAGTTGATTTTTAGAGAGTTTTTGTTTTTTACGTTTGGGGCTTTTCAAAAAGTGTTTGGGACGAATATTCAGCAACGCGGGATTTTTATTTTGAATGGAGTGGCCTTGTTGTAAATGTCTTTCAATGGAATATTATGCGAAACTCGTGTGACTCATTCCAGTGTTTAGGGGAACTGTGGAGCCTTGAAATAGAAACTGTTACCTGAGCGCGGTTTCTGTTTGTTTTGATTCTGTTGTGATTATTCATTTGCGTTGAACTGAGTGAGTGTAGTTCTCACGTTTTGTTTTTTCGTTTCAGGAAAAGTGGAATTTTGTATGTGGATGAGTGACAGTCGACGCGAAGTAAGTGAAATGAGTGGCGTTTCTCCTTGAGGGAATATCCTGAGTTTCGAACTTCTTTTTATTTATCTGCATTATTGAAATTCGTTGAACTTCAAATGCTTTACCAATTTTTTTTCTGCATCAGGTGTGTTTGTGGAACAATGCGGTGTTTAATCGAGTTTCTCCTTATCGCGACGCTGACATCGGCCGTTTCTTCACTGGAATGTTACGTTTGTTCGGAGCAAGAAGAAAACATTGGCAAGTGCGGAAAGGCGATCCAGATTTGCGACTACGAAGATGACGTGTGCATGACGCAGATTCGATGGGGCAGCACCCCGTACTGGTCTCAAGGCTCTGACAAGCAATACTATGTGACGAAGTCTTGTTCCAACGCGACAACGTGTGAGCGAAGTCGCGTGGCGAGTCTGCATCGGTGTCACAGGATCTGGTATGAAGACTGGGAATGTACCGAGTGCTGCAAAGGCGACAGATGTAATTACTACATCACTCTGGGGGCGTCTGGAATGGCTGCAAGCATCGCATTGGTCTTGAGCGGCCTCCTTGTCGCCATTTTGGGGCGGTGAACGAAAGAGTTTTAATTCTCAGGAATACTCGTGGCAAATGTTTTCAAGTCTTAATTTTTTACGCGGCATTCTTGAGACGAAAAAAATGGGAGAATTCCACCCAACTATAAGATGTATGGTACAGTAGCTCAACATAGAAACGGAAGTACTTTTCTGGCAGAAAATTTCAGCACTGTAGTTTTCTCTGACCAAAATAGAGTTTCTTTTTTATTCAATGGCTGAACGTCACCAGGTGCATGATTTTATGTACTATTACACAGGTTTCGCCTGTACTCTTGCAAGTTCACACAAAAAGAAAGATCACATAAGACCAGTTAAATTTAGACGCCTCGATATTAAATTTGTTGAAGTGATTCTGGGCGAGTTTGAGATTGTTCGTTGCTTAACTTGAGGTTTGCATAGTTCCGCATTTTCAATTTAAATTATTTACAAGGTAAATGACTTGAGAAAGTAAGGTCGCTTTTGAAATGCCAAGAATCTGAATGGAATCTAATGTCAGGAGTAAAATCATTCGGATAAATTTCTGTGTTTGAAAATATTCACGAGACGTTTCCAAATTTATTAAAAAAAACGCGCGGGACTGAACGGATCAAGTTTGTTCCTTTTTGATGTTCAGCTCTGTTTGAAATGATTCCGACTTTGGTGCATTGTGAAAATAGTTCAGTGCTTCTGTTTAGGCCCACCTTGTGCAAGGTTGTACTTTCGATTCGAGACGGGTTGGGCAGCCGTCGTTGTCAGTCTTATGCACGGTTGTTGGAATTTTGGAGCTGTCGACGGAGGAGTTCGAAAAGCTCCAGAGGAGTGTGTTCCATCCATTGGTTATATATGTTTTTGTATGGAATGTTAGCTTTTCATTGGTACAGAATATTATTTTTTTCATCTAGTACGAGAAAAGGAATATCAACGTATTGATTCCGTCCATGTATATCGTTACACGGTGATCTGTGGGCCCAGCTTGTTTTGTTATTCCCTGGGAGCGATTTTGTCAGTTTTATATGTGTGGCAAGCATTAAGGAGAGCAGTAACAAGATGCATTATTCCTTAATTTCCCTGGTATCTTTGCCAAATGTTTCGTAGATGATGATTTTATTTTATTTCCTAGGATGTACGGTGATTTAGTGTGTGCGCTTCTCGGGGTTCCAGGAGCGTTTTACAATGTGAAAGGCGAAGGAACGGAAGTTTTCGTCGAGGTGGGTTGTTCTCGATTCTTCGCGCTAAAAAAAAAGCTGATCTTTTTTCCTGGAATGCTCTCTAGGTGTCACCTGAATCACGAACATGGAAGATTAAAATTAAAATGTAAATGAATCTAAACAAACGCACCACAGTTTGGTTTGACATTTTCGAAGGTTCCGGTGTAATCCAATTTGTATAAGGTATTTATATGTTCATATTTCATGTAATTACTACTACAATTGCAACTAGTACGTACATGCCCAATGCATTCGCGACATGTCAACTGGAGCGTAATTGCAACTGTTCATTTTTTTCCTGTAAGAATTGAAAATTTCTGTAGATAGTGCTTTAATTGAAAATTATTTAGTAATTCGAACCTCAGCTCATGAAACGAACTCCAGGTGACCCTTACGTAGAAACGCATGAACTAAGAGACGTCGTGAGTTGAATTAACACATAATGTATTCATCATTTTTTTCCATGGAGCACATTTTGAAAGTTTTTTTCTTCCGTAGCCGAGGGTGTTGGACGTGCTGTCATCAAATGCAGATTCCGTGTTGATCGAGAAAATATGTGGGATTGCGACGAGTTACTGCCGTTTGCTGAGGTTCATCAAAAAATTTTCCGATTTTCGTCGAAGTAAGTTTTGGATAGCAAAGTTGTATTAAAAAAAAAATGTACTCATAGCAGAAATTTTCTTGCTAATATTTTTGTATTGTGGAAGGAGATTTTTATGATGAGAGGCTTTTTTCTTCTAGGAGGGGATGAGAAGTACACGGATTACTATCAAGTGTTGGCAGAAGGTTTTAGAAGACTGACCAAACCTTACCGATTGACGGTTGCCAAGCTTGAGGAAGAGATTTCATCAGGGCCTGGTTCTTTGATGAATTTTTGGTATGCCTTGGAGCAATTTGATCCAGTTCTGAAGGCCTTCAATTATTTGTGTTTTGAGGTGAGAAGTAGCTTTTCAATTTCTTCATTGATTTGTTATTCATTTTCTTTCCTTGCAGTTGGAGAATCTGCAAGTTCCTGGAAGTTGTGTTTTGAACGTGTTGGACAAACATAGCAATAAAGGAGTCCCTTTCTTGAAAGAAGCCTGTCTTGAGTAAGTTTTTTTTTTTACTTGGTCTACAATTTTCTTGGCCACCCGGTAGATGAAGTTTTATGAAATTTGTTAGAAATGTAAACTATTCACGTGAGAGTTCGTACTGATGGATCATGCAGTCCACTGATTTTTCTCATTTTCATTTACTGTCATGAGTCGCGTTAAATTTTGCAATTTGTTATATTTTTGCGCAGATTGATGAAGGAATGCAGAATGCCATTTCTGAGGCATTTTGCGAGCTGGGTCTTGCTTGGTGTGAGCCAAAAACGAGAGAATGATTTCTTCATCACTGGCGGCAATGAAGATGAGTTGGGATTTGCGAGTGTGACCTTGAATCCTCAGCAATTACCAGTGTTCATCTCTGTTCGGCTTGCCAATCTAATTTTGAATTTATCCAAAAGTGTGTTACTTTTGAGGATGTTCGGTGGATCTCAAAATAGTGGTAAGTGTGAGGTTGTTGCAAGAAATTTCATTTTGGATTTTGGATGAATTTTTTTTTTTTTTTTAAGATTTGTGGCAGAAGGTTAGTGAGAAACATCCAGAAGTATTGAGGAAACTGAAAGAGTTGAACGAAGAGCCGGACGAAATCGTTTTCAAGCGGAATTTCCAAACGCTGGTGGAAGAAATCGGCGCTAACATAGACAAGGTTTGTTTCTTGAATTCTCAATATTTCAATCCCATTTCCTTTAAGCGAAAACAATCTCCGGTAACTCTCGTGAACTCTCTTTATCAGCAAATGGCCAAAATGATCCTCGAAGATGGAAAACTGGTGGAAAGTTGCTTGTTGGTCATCAAGAATCATTTCCTAATGGGACAGGGAGACTTACACACAGCGCTTGTGGCATCCATTACAAAATTGTATTCAACTAGGCGTCAACAGAAGGACGAAACGAAGATACAACCAAGGATCAATGAATGTGTGCGAGATGAGCTAGAAGCATGTAACCTCGAAAAGTTCCCAAATGGTATCCGAGTGGTATCTCGAGAACCCTGCAGTTTCACGCTTGAATTCGACATAGGCTTACCCTGCAACCTTGTGGTTTCTGAAGCGCTAATAGCCACCAAGTACAGGCCCATTTATGAATTTCTGGTGCGTGTGCGAAAGGCGCAGATTGGGCTCTTATCCCTGAGCTGCAGAAGAATGAAGTTGAAGGTGATGCCCAGAGGCGACAAAGCTAGAGAAGCGTGTTTGCTCATGGAAATGCTGTTCGTTGTGAGGCATGTTTTATCCTTCGCTGACTGGTTCATTGAGGAGAAATTTGCCGAACTTCTGGCTGGGATCAAAGCAGAGAAAACTGCGCTGGATCAAATCAGAGGATTGCATGAAACATTCGCGTTTGAAGTTGGTGCACTAATCAACTCCATTTTCTTGAAGGTAAATTTGCAAGCTACAGACAGGGCCGGCCCAAGCCTTCATGGCGCCCGTGTGCAAACCCTATCTTGGCGCCCCTATACATGAAAAACTTCAATCAGACAACATACAGTCAAACACCAGTTTATGGACATTGAGTTAAAAATTCTCAGTTTAAGGACTGGCTCTGTTTTGGGGAAGTTGCACCTGCTTATGGACTGTAAACTGGCTTATGGACTGTGGTCCATTTTTGTCAATCTTGAAGTTTTGAAAGTAAATAATTTTGCCGGCATGATGAGGCGCCTCATCAATGAGTCAATCAATGATGAGGTGCCTGGCGCCTCATCATGCTGGCACACCCCCTCCTTACTGCCCGGGTCAGGTCTGATTTTTGCACCAACTCTGGCACTGATTTTTGCGCCCCCCCTAGCCAGGCGCCCCTGTGCAGTGAACCCGCTGCACCCGCCTTAGGCCGGCCCTGGCTACAGACATGGACTCTTTACGATGTTCGATCTTGTTTTCCGAAATGTTGGATGTGTGCTGCCCGTCAAAACGGAAGAAAAAATCAGTCGAAACTTACGCACAGTTGAACCTCTCCGTCAAATTCCGAGAGATATAAAAAAATCGACTTGGATTGGCTTTTTAAATGAGGGGAAACGACCATTTTTGCCTGGAAAAAATTAAAATTACAGTAGTTATCTATTTTGCTTGGGTAGAGAAATATGACTTGCATTAAATTTTAATTGGTGCTATTTTGGACCTTAAATTCCTTCATAATGAGTTGAGAAGATGCCAAATTGTTAGGCAAGGATTCGTTTATTCATTCACTTCCTTATTTCCTTTCAAAAAGCATCATATAGCCAAAAATTATTACAGAAAATTTGAATTATAGAGGTTTGAGGGGAAAATTCTTTGAGTTAGGGCTTTTTATGTATTGTTTCCAAGGAAATTCAAAGAGGGGCTTGAAACATTTTTGAGTTACTATGAGGTTCGACTGATGAAAATATCATTGATCCAGACACACGTTTGAGGTCGATATGAGAATTTGAGAAAATGCTACAGTAATTTTTTTTTTTTATGCAGGCAATGAAGAAAGTGTTGGATGCTTGTGACAACTATTGTGCCCTGCTGATGGACTCCCAGGATGGATACACTGATGAATCAGATGCTCACAAGTGTTTCCTGGTGGAGGCTGCATTCAAACAAGGGGTTGTTGCCGTCATGCAATTCACGCTGGTAGCTCACAGGAAAGAAGTCGCGACTTCACTCAAGGAACTAACGAGGCAGTTGTGTGCCAATCCACATATGCTTGCCAAATACATTCCGTCTTCCTACGAAGAGGATGGGATAGAAATCAGATCTCTTCTTGGCCGCATATAATCTAGCTTTATCCTGGTTTTTCCATCATTTTGCATTTTGCCAAGAATCCTCATTTCCACCCTGTGCGTGTTTTTTCTTTCATCAGAAGCAGCTTTTTTGATCGAAGCGGTATATTTAAAGATTCATGTGGTGAACGGGGAAAATGAGCTTCAACTTTGGGTCCATCTGTTGAAGTTTGGTGTCCCAGAATTTAATTTTGTTAACTTATTTTTTTATTATTTTTTTGCAACGGTGAGTTTCGAATATTTTTTTGTGATTCTGTGATAAACAGAACAATGAAATTTTGTATTGCATTTCCAAGTTGAAAATGTTTTTGTATGAGCCAGAAGTGCGTGTGGTGGTCAGTGTTATTGGGGACAGATGTCATCTCAATATAAGTTAGTGTTCAAGCTGGATTAGAAGAGTAATGAGCCCAGGACAGGGGCCAGAACTACTCTGAATTCCTGGGTTTAAGGATGAAGTGTATTTCACACAGGTTAATAACTACTCAGTGAACTCTTGCTTCAACTGCTAGATTGAACTGGAATACTGTAATTCTATATAATATTTGTATCTCTTGACTGACTAACTCAATAGTTTATAACTACCCTTCATTATTTTACCATTCAATTTCAAGGTGGAGTGTTAAACTCAAGTAAATACTGAGAAAATGCATCATTGATGGCGCGCTTGCCTAACAGGTGTTGATGATAGAAAGATCTGTGATATGTCCTGCGAGTTGTATGGATATTTCTGTGTGCATTTCACACCACTGATCTAATTAATCTTTTTTTCTTGAATTAGGTACCGTTGAATGATATGATGGAGGTGTTCGGTTCGGGTATTTCATATCATGATGTAATGATATTTTGAGAAGCGAGGCGGGTTTTGTTTTTAAGCTTTTTTATTTATTAAAAATTGAGCCCGGAAGGAAGTGACGAGCGAAGGAAAACCCCCGCCGGCGCGCGATGCTGGATGTGCAAAATGTGCTCAGGGAAGGATTCGACAACGGCGGGATTGCGGGTGTCGACACTGGGATCGACACCGCTTTGCTCAACTTCACGGACGACGGCTCGGATCCGTTCGACGGGTTCGCCGAATTTGAGACCTCTTTCGCTGCTGCGGCTTCTTCCTCGCTCCGCAGCCAGTACGCAATTTTTTTCCTGTCATGGTGTCATGCTTATCACTATGATTCTTTTTTGTAATTCTTATTGCCATGTGTGATTCGGTAGTCCAGTGCTGCCCAACTTAGATTCAGTGCTTCGCATGGAATCAAGTACATGACAGAATTTTCGATGGGTGGGGCAACATTTTGAATTTTAAAATTAATTTTTAAATTTATGCAGTACTGTATCTTAAATAGTGGCAGCTGCCACCTTGAAAATTGAAGGGAAGGGACTGCAGACCGGATCTGGCCCGCAAGCCATATTGGGCCGCACTGTTGTTCGATATTTGCTTCATTCAAATTGGTTTGTTCGCATGTTTTCAAAGGTAGTCAATTTATTGGTGCCACTTTTCGTCAAACTTGTGCCTTTTTCTCCTAAAATATCCGCAAAACAATGATTTCCACGTAGAGAATCAATTTTTTTTCTTCTGTCGCTTCTGTGGATTGTTCTTGTATCAATCAGCATATTTTTAGAAGCTTGAATTAAATGTATTTGTAAGCCAAGTTTTTTCAAGTGAAAAATGTATCTTTTGTTTGTGGATTATTCGAATACTGTATCTACAGATCTCCGCCTAAATTTTCAATTTTTCTTGCATGAGCTAAATAGCTACAGGTCCAACTATCGAACTTTTTTATACTGTAGCTTTAATTATCATCAAACCAAGAATTTTCGTGTTCAATTTTTTCTTCACTGTAAGATTGCTCTTGTCCCAATTTTGGATCTTGAACTCCGCGTCTGTTTTGGAAGCTTCAGTTAAATTAATTTATACGGCCAAGGTTTTCATTTTGAGTATTTACCGTCTTTTTGTTGTTAGACGCTCGCGTTAGCTACTGATGTCAATCTCTACTTTTTTTTAAAGTTTTAAACGAAGTAATCTGCAGCTTTGAAGGTGTTGATGTGGAAGTATGTTTCGTCGTCAGACATTCTAAGAACATTTTTTATGGATCACCTGCAGATGCTCATCTTGTTAAAAAGCTTGAAATGGAATCATCCATGAACCAAAATTTTTTTTCCATTCACAAGAGCGGAGATCTTCAAAGCCTTATCTTGTTCGAAAGCTTGAAATGAATTTAGTTGTAATTGTTGGAATTTTCTTGTGCCGTCTGCAGGTTGTTCCTGGATCAGCTGCAGATCCCCAGGGACTTGTGGAACCTGACGGTGCAATTATTCAATGACGAGATCCTGCTGAACTCCTCGACGTACGTACAAGACGGCTTCGTGCACGAGGTGTACACGTTTCATCCGAAAGCCCAGTGTGCGATGCTCATTGTGTTGACGTGCACAACGCTCATTGTCAACTTGTCCATCGTGGCGAATGTGCAAAGGAACGAGATCAAGCGACGCATGGCCAATTTCACGCTCATTTCGCATCTGTGCACTGTGGACATGCTTGGCGCTGTGTTCATCTCGCCGCTGCCGTTTTGGGCCACTTGGGAGGGCTTTTGGATGCACAACGAGTTTGTGTGCATGTCTAGCTGCGTGGCAGTGGTGGCCATGTGGCTTCAGCACATTCTCGTCTTTTCCTTGCTCAAAATTGATCAGGTTTGTCCGGTTCCTTTCAATTATTCATTGCCCAACACCCAGTTATGAAAGTGGACATCTGGATAATGCGATTATCGATTATCTAATACTGTATTGTACCGGTAATAATACTGTACTGTCACGTTGCGCATTCTGGATTTTCCGAAAGACTTCCCAGGAAGCGAGTACAAACACGCAGATAGAGTTATCGTTTGTTGAGTTGAAATATTGCCATATTGGATTGATATGGCGCCGTAACGAGGTGGTCTGTCAGAAGGGACCGTGTGGCCTAATGGATAAGGCGTCTGACTTCGGATCAGAAGATTGCAGGTTCGAGTCCTGTCACGGTCGAAATTTTTTCATGCCGCATCCAAGCGCTGTTGCAGCAGGGGGCATCATCATCATACTCACCTTGATTTAAGAACTATTTTGAACGCTGGTTTCGTTCATTTGAAGAATTTTGCTGTTTTCTTTTTGATGACGTCTGAATTCTTGTAGTTCGCAGGAACACAGTTTTACGTTTAACAGTATTTATTAATTCGTAATTTCAACAGAAATTATTTTTCTTACCTCCGTCCCGAAATTGTGTTGCAGTTTTGTTCACCATTTACTTTGAAAATTGAAAGTTAAGAGGAAAGTTAGTGAAAGAAACAAACGCAGTCTTAAAGTGTATGTATCATGTCTTGAATCATTAAATATGATCGTGAATGTTATACTGATGTAGCACGATGCGCCGTTCCACATGTGATTGTACGGCTCATATGGCGCAGAACTCGACTAGGCATGTGCGAAGTGGGGAGGGTTGGGTCATCCAGGTCTTGATGGTCAGGCAATCCATAGACTTATTTGGTGACCGTCGTGATACATGTAGACCGTGTGGCCTAATGGATAAGGCGTCTGACTTCGGATCAGAAGATTGCAGGTTCGAGTCCTGTCACGGTCGGCGCTAGTTTTTTTTTTTTTTTTCACTGGGTCGAAATGGCGGATTCGTTCGGTGGTTCTTCTTCGTTATTGTTCCTTTGTATTATTTTCTTTGCCTTCCTCCTCGAAGGATTCCTCTCATTTGACATGATTTGATGAACCGTCGTTTTTTTGCATTTATGCTATATTAGCCTGAAAATTTGCCTAATGAAAGAAAACAAAAGTTGGCTCTTCTAGAAAAACTTCGGACAAATTTTCATCAACTGAAATGAATTTATTTCATGTACAATTTTAATTGAAACCTTTCTTGAAGCCCAGCTTTGCACTATTTTGAAGACATTCCATTGTTGGTGCAAAAGGGGTTCTTGACTTAATTTTTGCAATAAACGTTTTGGTTGGAGTACAGTATGGCAGGTATTTAAACAAAATTCTGCTTGTTTAAAAAAAAAAAAAGGAAATCTACTCGTACCCTAGCCCAAAAAGGTTGGGAAACTTCGGTAGAGTACCATTGTTACCCAACGATTTTGGGCCCACGGGCCGGCTAACTTACATAAATTTGTTGCCAACAGAAAAAATTTTGTTTGAAAGAGTTCATGATAGGTATTATAAGTTCCTACTTTTTTGAAAAAATTAATTCAAGAACCAATGAAGCAGCTAGGTTGAAATGTCTTCACAAAATTGGAAAGGTGGGCTTGAAAGTTTTCTCAGAATGTATAAAAAATGATTAATTTTAGCAGCTGACAATTTGTCTGAAGTGTTAATTGGGAGAAAGCCGACTTATATTTTTCATCGGTTAATTTCAGCTGCCATTGTCTTTCCAGAATTTCAGATGAAGATTTCATTGCTATTTTTAATAAATTTATTATGAGGAAGAAAATTTCCCGCGAACTGGCAGAAAACTTCTGCAAACCGGCGCCGGTTTGCGAATGACGGGTTGGGGAATACTGTACTGGTATTATAGACTAAATAGAGTACAATATTTGAAATTTCGTGCCACCCTCAGCTTAGTGGTGCTGTGGTGGATGCCTATATTGACGAATATACCCGTATTTACTCGAGTACCACGCGCCCTGGAGTAAGGCGCCCAGAGGGGTTTTTTAGTTGGAAATTTTGCTAAAATCTCATCCCCGAGTAAGACGCACACCCCAATTTTTAGTGAATCTGAAACCACACAATTTTGCTAATAAGAACAACAAAATTGACTTCAGGCATGAATTGAACAAAAATCTCATCAATTTTCAACTTTTTCAGTACTAAAACGTTTTCTTGTTACATTTGCTCCATATGTCTCCATTATAATCAAGTATAATAATGCACACATAACTTCCTAAAACTTCTTGAAAATTTTGTACGCGCTTATGACGCGCACCCATTTTTTTCTTCTGAAATTCGGGAAAAAAGGTGCGCGTGGTACTCGAGTAAATACGGTACTTCACTTTACTTGGTTTGCATGGACGGTTTGACTTCGAAAATTTATTCCTGGACTTTTCTCGAAAGGTATTTGCTGGTTGGTTACCGGTGGGAGCGTATCCGGCGATATCCGCCGACGTGGCGACATTCGTGGTGCTGGGCATTTGGGCAATAGCATTTGGCTCCAGCGGTCTTGTGGTGTCTGTGTACGGGTCTATCTTCGAGCCGGCCGTAATGCTTTGTATTCCCAATCTGCCGCCTTCCTTCTTCATTACGGTCTTCATTATCTACTGCCTCATCATTGCTTCCATGGTGTTGGGTTACGCCGTTGTGGCGTGTATCATTTGGCGCCACCGGTTGAAGGTGCGCCTGACCGTGGTTCTATCTCTCTTTCTTGTCTGTCTGTCTTTTCTTTTGCATGATTTGTTGTTTTTGTTTTTTGGAGAAAGTGTTTGAACAGCGTGTACTGAATTTGATTATTATTACCTTAAATAATAAACTATCTTACCACGCACCCTTGAGTAAGAAATGCACCCCGATGTTTCACCTGATATTTTGATGAAATCTCAAGTAAGACGCACACCCGATTTTTTAAAACTGAAAAGCTGCAGTGAACCAAAAATAAGACGCACCAGAATTTGAATTTAAAGCAGGATTTCAACCTGGATTCAATTAATTTTCAATTGATCAGCTTTGGTAAGAATGTCTTCAAACATTTACAATAATTAATTGTAATGCGCGCATGAATTTCTATCTTTTTTAAAATTCATTTTACCCCTA